CTATCAAGAAAAGGTGGAAAAGATCATCCCATATTTTAAGAAAATCATCTTTAAGCAAGCAACCAGGGAAAATAATCGGTTTGCCGAGACCCTTGCGACCCTTGTTTTAATGGTTGATATTCCTTCAGAAATCACCACGCTGTTATTCTACATCAGGAACAAACATGTCCCTTCCCCACCAAGGATCGAAAAAGAAGTACAGCAAGAAAATGAGAACGATGGGGAAGTGTCTCTCATGACTTCAGATCCGCTAGTTAAGGTAAAATCATGGTTCCACGATGTTTTATCGCGGCTGATATTTAGGTTATACCCAAAGGAGCCACAAAAAAGGATAAAGAAGTCATTCGAAGGTTTTCTTTGGGATTCTTAGTAAGAGGTAATGTCTTGTTCAAGAAATCCTTCAATGGCATCATTCTACGGTATCTTGATCAGCCAAAAATCGACCAAGTACTGACAGAGTTACACAATGAAGGAGGTTATTCTGGGGCAGCTGCCTTAGCTCAGAAAATCTAGCGCCAAGGTTATTATTGGACCACCATGGCCAAGATTGTTGGAAGTTCGTTAAGAGTTGTCATAAATGTCAACTTTATGGAGACCTCATCCATGCACCGTTCGTACCACTCAACTCAACACCACCTGTATAGCCTTTTGTAATGTGGGGTCTTGATATCATCGGAATGATCTCACCAAAAGCCTCAAACGGCCACCGTTTTATACTAATGACTACAAAGTACTTCACAAAATTGGTAGAGGTCACATCATTTGTCAAAATTGAGGGACAACATGTTGGCCGTTTCAACATTGTATTCAGATTCGGTGCTCCTGAGTCAATTATTCATTACAATGGATCCGACTTAAAAAATGAAAAGGCCACTAAGGTGTGGAAAAATTTTGGGATAACGCAGAAATTCTCCACACCCTACTACCCTCAAGGAAACGGACAAGCAGAGGCCATAAACAAAGGACTTCTCAGAATTATAAATAGAATAATAGAAGGTGGCAGATATTGGCACAAAAAGCTAAATGACGCGCTATGGGCCTACCGAACAACTAAGAAGACTCGTACTGGCATCACCCCATACTCATTGGTGTATGATATGGAAGCAGTGCTAACCATTGAAGTTGAGATACCGTCTATTCGAGTGCTTATTCACAAAAATTCAGATGAGGAACAAAAGATCGAAGCACGAATCGCTGCCCTCGTTACTTTGGATGAAAGACGACTAAGAGCAGCACAAAATATCGTTGCTTACCAATATAGAATCAAGAGGGCATACCAAAGAAAATGCGTTCCTCGACAATTCAAAGAAGGGGACATGGTATTCAAGAAAATCTTCCACCCTCTTACAAATCCATACCATTTAGGCAAGATCAAACCTAGTTGGGAGGGTGCACGCAGGCAATTCTTACAAGATAAAAAATCAGGAAGGGTACGAACTCAATGACCCCATTAATGCGATGCATCTCAAAAAATACTACCCGTAACGGGCTCAAAAGCGTGGTGAAAACCTGAAAAGGCATCACAAAGAAAAAAAAAAAAATGGACATGGTGAAAACCTGAAAAGACATCACGGGTAAAGACAAAAGACTAAAAAAAAAAATCTCTGATTCAAAACCTCAAGTACAAACAAGTACCTGCGAGTTACAACAGTATTGCACAAAAAAAACACTCAAGCACAAACAAGTACTTGCAAGTTCCAATAATACGACACAAGCAGACCCTGAGGACGAAGACTCCTTTTAAACCCTGCAGGTTCTTAACATAACCAACTCAGAAAGATGTGGGAGGGTGACATGAATGGAAAATCGAAGTGACTTCGACGAATCCTAGAAGAACATCGAGACTTCTCCAAGATGGAAGCCCAGCAAGATTCCAAAGAACTCTTCATGGAACAGCGAAGCACATGATGAAAGCTCCCAAGGTGAAAGGACAACTTCAAGACCTTTGAGTTCTCACGATCCCACTAAGAAATCATTTCATCATCTTTGGGTAAAACATAATAAAGAAAATGACAACCAAAAGGGCCACAAAATTGTAAGGCCCGTCCCTTTTGAAAATGTTTTTTTAATTTAATTGTTAAAACCCATCAATTTTCAAAACCCTTTTAGAAAGAACTTCCTCCATTACAGCAAGAGGTTAACCTGTTAGTCGTCTGGCCTCGTTCTCGAAGTCAACTTCCTACGTATGTTATGAAGGATTGAAACTAGTCAAGCACTCCATGGTTGTATGAGTATAATTACCAACTATCATATATCGAAGATGGGTGAACCTCGCCAATGACGATATTGGCTAATCTGGGAGCGTTTTTCTCTTGATTGGATCCGTTGAGGTAAAATGAGGCAAGCTCATCCCTGTGTGTGCGTACGATGACCCAACAGTCAAGAATTCGAGACAAAAACCTACAATTAGAGGACTAAATGTGTAGGAGTTCATATTGAAAAGTGCGTGCAAAGAAAGTGTTCTACTATGCTTCGGCAAATAAAATTGCACACCTACTGATGAGCAAGAAACCCCCCCAACAGGGGCAAGTTGAATGGGGACTCCACAATAGGGGCAATAAAAAAAAAAAGTTTTCAAACTCCCCATAACAAGGGAAAAATTGAAAAATACCTCCAAATAGGGGCAAAGTAGAAAAAGACTTCCCTGATTGATCCCAACATTTCCAAGTAAAAAAACGTCAAACTCGAGCGACATAAAAGAGCCAAGACATGAAAAATGTCAAACTCGTGCGAAGTAAAAGAGCCAAGGCAGGTAACGTCTAGCCCCGTATGATTGTAAAAGGTCGGGTATATTCCGTCGAGCCTTATATGATGTAAAAGGGTCGGGTGTATTCCGTCTAACCCCATATGACATTAAAGGTCGAGTGTATCCAGTTCAACATCAAACTCGTGCAATGTAAAAGAGTCGAGGCAGGTAGCATCTAGCCCCGTATGACATAAAAAGGTCGGGTGTATTCTGTCTAACCCCATATGACGTAAAAGGGTCGAGCGTATGGTCCATCGTTGCATGATGCTAAACTGCTTTGAGGGCTCTATGGTTGCAAAAGTTAAAACTGCTAAACAACTTTGTTTTTCGAAATATCTTTCTTTTTTAAAAATTTTCACTATATGTCTTGTGTTTTTAAAAACTTTAATTTCTTTGTTAAAAGTGTAACATGTCCTTGTTTCGGGTTCTATTTCAAATATCCCTCTATCTTCAAAAATTCTAAAAAATCTTATAAAATAAAGGAGTTTGAACACTCGTATATGATGATTATTGCATTGCTGCCTCGTCTCTATCTTCGGAATCGGCCAAACAAGTCTCTTCTTATAAAAAACCTTTTCCTATAGAAAGCCTTAGAAAACCCTAAGGAGGAAACCCTAAGGAAATCAAAGAAAATGGTAGGGTTAAAAAAAATTCAAATTGTGAAACCCCTGAAGTTAAGTGGCATGGCCAGAAAATCCAACTCGAGTTTCAAGCTTGTGTAACTCACTGACATCTCACACCGAAAGCCCTAGGAGGGAGGAAAATGCCCTAGGTCAATGACTTGGTGGGATTATGTTGGTGCGCCCTCTGACCACGTGACGTCATGAAGAAATTAAAAAATGTTTGCATTATCTTTGACATTCACCTGCCCCTCAAGGGATAAGGAACCCCAAAGTGTCTACTTCTTTACTACTCACTTCTCCCTTGTAGGACAAGGACTGCCAAAGAGGGGCAATTATAAACACCCCATTTTAAATCTGGTAAATTCTATGGTTTCTTGAACCCTTAAGACCACACTGCCCTAGTAAACCTAAATCCATAGTCTACACAGCCTACCCCATGACCCAAAACCATTATGCCTACCCAGAACCCTACATATATCCTCTCTTGACCCAAAATCTTATAGACGTCCTGTTTTACCAAAAAAATCATTAAAAATAGTAGAAAAAAAATTATCCTCCTAGAGCTTCAAGAGAGGCTTGGGAACACACTTGAAGTGGAAATTTTCAAATTTGACCAACTTTTGTTTGGGCGACAGTAGGAGTGTCGCCCAGCCTAGACTGGGCGACACGAGTGGTGCCGCCCAGCCGACTAGGGTGACACTACAGGTGTCACCCAGCCTTGTTTAGGCCCAAATTAGAAATTTCTTTTGGGCGTTGATTTCTTGTGTTTTTGTATAGTTTTTACCATGTTGATTTGGGCGACACTAGGCATGTCACCCAAACCCAAATCCCCAAAAATGGTATCTTGGGTTGGAGGATCTGTTGGTTATGAAAAGTTGCCATTTCCAACTAATCCTTGGCCTTTATAAACCCCTTTTCGTAGCCATTTAGGAAGAGGAAGATTGAATTCCTAGCCCTTTTGCTCAGAGAAAGTTAAGCCTGAAACCCTAATCTACATTAACCCTAAGCTTGAGACACCTTAACCTAGACCAAAGCAACCCTAGTTCTAAACTATCTCTAGGACACAACAACCCTTTTCAATCAGAGATCTTCTGGTCAACTTTTGAATCAGAGAGGCAAAGAGGATGCCGGTTATGATACGGGAGAGCCCTCGAATGCTTGGGTGTCTCGAGCCATCTGGCCCGGTTTGGTATTTGTTTTCTTATCCGTTCTTTCTTCTTCTTATTGTTTTGATTTTATTTTGATTTATTTTGATCAGTTTCTTTGAACTCATGTTTTAATATCTTGGATCATGCTAGCTCTACCACAGATCTGAGAGCGGATCTCCTCGTTTACGAGCAGATCTAACATCAGATCTGAATCGATTTGTCCCACTTTTTTTACTATATTATTTTATCAGTTTAAAGACTCAAAATCCCAGAGATTTTCTTTAGAAGGTTCTTTTTGCATTGACATTTTAACTTTTAGACTCGACATTTATCAGGCTTTCCACCAACTAACTCAGTTTCACATAAGAAAGAATAAACTTTGTCAAAAATATCAACAACAATATTTTATTAATAACATAATTGATGTTTGCTTTTGACCACTTGATTACACTAGTTGAATCTTTCTCCACTTTAGTTGGGTAGTATAAATTCTTAATAAGGTGTGGGCCTCGGAGTAACACCTTTCACTTAGCATCATTTGTCTTTCACATGTTAACGGGTAGCAATGAAACCATGGATGTTATGGCTGCGCTGCCCTGACCACCAAGACCAAAACCAAGTGCTCATTCCTTCCATGTGGTAGCCTCAATTACAGTGCACTCACCAATAAGTCCATAGCAGCCACTTCCCAATCTCTCACCTCCCCTTTTGCTTTTACCCAGAGTTTTCCATATCATGGCTTACTTTGTATAGGATTTCACTATTTCTGGTCTTATGGGAACGTTTTCGAGGTCTGTCACATCAAGATTTTTCATTACCATTTATCATATCAAAATGAAGGGAAAGTGAGATAATTGTATTTTGTTAGGGGTGTGTAGTTGTGTATGGGATTATGGAGGAAAGGGGTTTAAACTGGCGAAGTCCAGCTCATTTGCTCGACTGTACAAGAATGACGATGCTTCTAACCTATAAAACCATATTAACTCAATCAAACACAAACGGTTGGAGAAACAGAAAAGGGGATAATTTTGTTTAAATTATTGCATATATGTGAAAGTTGGAGAAACAGAAATAGAAAAGGGGATAATTTTGTTTAAATTATTGCATATATGTGAAAGTTGGAGAAACAGAAATAGAAAAGGGGATAATTTTGTTTAAATTATTGCATATACATTTGTAAAAGTTGGAGAAACACAAACAGTTTTGTTTAAATTATTGCATGTACATATGTGAGCCTTCTAAAAACAAAGTGATCAGTTTTGTTTAAATTATTGCATATACATTTGTGAGCATTTTAAAAACAACGTGGTGTCCAAGATATCCCGTGTAATTGTGCAATTGTTAATCTATGCCAAAGAGTAAAGCAAAAGAACGATGAGAAAATGTTCAACTCTTTTGTTTCTTTTTTTTTTTTTTTAATTCTTGTTATTATTATGATTATTATGCTAGCTTGGTAGATAATTAGATTTCTTACCGGATGGACCACAAATTTTCTATTGGACAAAGCCCAATTAACCTGTTAAAACATTAAGAAACAAAAGATGATAAAAAATAGAGCAAAAAAAAAAAAAAATTTCTCTTCAAAATCTTGGCAACTGACACAAAAAAATACCAAGAAGAAAAATAATCACGAGTGATTGTGACCTTGCATTAAAAACAAATAGTTTTATAATATACATTCTCCAATAGAATAAGCGGGAAACAAAAAAGGAACAAATTGGAACAAAATATATACCTTAGATGTGCCTCGAAGTCTTCCTACAACATGTATGGCCTCATCATCAATTTGGTAAATTGCACCAAATTACTCAGCCGTTTGCCAAAGTAGGTGCAAGTTGGAATTCAAATCAAGATTACAGCGAATAATACTTTGCACCTCTTAATATCTTTTTTTACTCGGATGCAAAGAGATCTATTATATCCACTTTGTTTAGGAAAGAATGCGATAAAAAACTCTGGTGTATCCTTTCAATAACCTGTGCCCAATCAAAAAAGGAAACTCAAACTTAAAAAATACTTGCTTATTTTAAATAAAATGGATTATTGACTTTTAATAGATAGTGGTTTCACATCCAAAGTGGAGGATAATAAAAAAAAGCTCTCGGGTAACCTTTCAATAACCTGTGCCCAATCCAAAAAAATAATTAAAACATAAAATATACTTGCTTATTTTAAATAAAATGGATTATTGGCTTTTAATGGATAGTGGTTTCAAGTCCAAAGTGGAGGATAGTATTCCATCCTCAACCATTTCATCACGGCCCACTTTCAGAAGAGATGGCCCATTAAGTCAAAACTAACGTCCAAATTATTATTATTATTATCATCATCATCATCATCATCATCATCATCATCATTATCATCGTCATTATCATTATCTTTATTATTATTGATACGTATGTGTGCTCATAAAGTGCTCTAGACCCACTTGTCTGTCATGTTATATGTTCATAAAGGCTAGCGTAAGGGAGGCTCTAACCAACCTTATGCTAAGGGGCTTTCCGTAATCTAAGAGGGCATTTTCGTTTGTCCGAACGTGTCACGAATCCATCATGAGCTAGGTCCACCTTACACCATATAATTCTCTCTCACTAGTTGGTACCTACCCGCACGCGCACCACACACAATACGGTTTTCGAAAGAGTGATCTCAGGCAGGTCCCCGCTGCCGGTCCTAAAACTCGACAAGATCGAGGCCCAATCATAAAAATGTGCATATTCATATGATTTGTATCGTTCAAATAGTGGCATACAACATTGGTTAATTTTGCATATAATATAAAAATGTCATAAATGAGGAAAGTCAAATGGAGATTAATGCTAACAATATAATATAGAAGCTAATCTTATGTGCCCAAAGATATGTGATCTCTCACCATAAGTTTTTGACAATAACTCAAAATTTACAATTTTTATTTTAAAAATATAATTTTAAAAGTAAATCTTTGTATTTAGCATAAATAAAATACTAGTAATAAATATTTTCTTGATGGATGAGATATATAGTGTGTTCTCATGAGTGCACTTTAGACAATATACTTTCACATTTTCTGTCTTCTAGGGGCCTTAGGGGGGAGGGAGTCGTGTACAACAATATATGAACTATGAACTTAATTTTTATACTTCCAAAATAGCCAATACATTTATTATAAAAGATAATACTTTCTTTATCTATAATAATATATAGTATTTTTTTAATAATACTATAATAATATATAGTACTTTCCTTATCTATAATAATATATAGTACTTTCCTTATCTATAATAATATATAGTACTTTCCTTCTCTATAATAATATATAGTACTTTCCTTATCTATAATAATATATAGTATTTATAAATTTATAATTTATAATTTGGCATTGATACTCTCATTTTTGATAAAATATTTTATAAATTTAAATGCCCTCCAAGATAAGTTTCCTCCATTTGAAATGAATAAAATATGTTTTTGAATTAGAAACCAATGCTTTCTAGGAAACGATTTATATCGTATCTCACGAATTGCGTTTATCACACACCATACCGTTGTTGCTTTATGTAAGTATGATGGTACTGAATATTGATATAAAACTTCATAGATTCACCTAATAGCCCGTATAAACATTATAAAATACCATTTAAGTTTATGTTTGTTCGACCTATCAGCTAAAAATTATATTTCTAATTTTTTAGATCTAAAATTTAACTTTTTTTATTTTTAAATGTTAATAAAATGATAGATCTCTAAATTTTAGATGTACTTAATATTATTAAGTAATTCTATTTCATGTGGGACTAAGGACATAGTGTGTTACTAAGGGACTATATTAGATATTATTTTCAACCCAAAATAATGAATATTCAAATATTAATAATAATAATATTAAAACTCGTATTCAAATAATAAAAATAATAATATTAAAACTCGTGTGGTAAAATAATTGGATGGCATAAATGCCCTGCAAGGTAAGCATTCCTCTAAATAAAATATGTTTTTGAATTAGAAACTAACGCTTTCTTTCCATTCTTTTTACTATTTATTCTCAAATTTCTACTTTCTTGATTATTGTTTGCTACTTTTGTTAGTGTGGATTTAAATAGCATTATAATTATTAAACCTTAATTCAACAAACAAATGCTTTCCATTTCTAGTCAAAATTACATACGGACATTTTTTTTCACTCTTATATTACCGTATGGTTATATTTTACCCAAAAATTACAACAATCACTTCACCCCTATTACGAACCTTACATTACCAGTTATATTTTACCCAAAAATTATAATGAGAACCCAACAATTGCCTTTTTCGCGGAACAATGTTTCATATTAAAACTCTAATTTTTGTTGAAATATTACTGAAAATTATTAAAAATAAAATAAAAAATTTGATTCAAACCTTTTTAATTTTTAAGTATTGTTTAACTATCTAAATTAAAATAAAAAATATAATTCAAACCTTTTTCGTTTTTAAGTATTGTGTAATTATCTAAATTAAAATGATTAGATTTGGTTACTTTTAAATTGAGAATATGATATTTATTTTTTAAAATTTTCAAATATTATTAAAATATAATAATACTATCTAATATTGTATACAATAAAAAAATGGTTAAAATCAATATACCTTTTTAGTCTCTTCCAATGCCCTAACATATTATATCTTCCATTGTAATCAGTTCGCTAAACAAAACTTTTAGTTTTTTAATGCTAGCATCACAAACTATATGGAGAAATGTTTGAAAGACTTATAAAAAAAGTAGATAAACAAACTTATCACAACAAAAGTATCTTATTTCCAAACATGTCATATTAAAAGCATGTGATTCCAAATTAAGAATCATTTTCTGATAAATAAAATTTTGATTTTTTATATGCTTTTAGAATTTTATTCATTATTTCTTTTTATGCCTACAAAACAAGTGCGGAGCACATGCATTTCGCGCGTCTAATTAATTAGGACCTTGACGAATCCTATCATCTATTACCTTCTAATTTATGTTTCCTACGTGATCCATCCATCTCTATATAGAATCATAGAGTGAGAAAGAGAGAGTTGTGTGAGAGAGATTGTAATATATTTATCTCGTTAGGGTGGCAATGGATCCAATTAGGCCTGGGACTCAATCGTCAGACCCGATCTTGGGTCTTGGTATGGGTCCAAATTTTGGACCCAAAAGGTCGGGTTCGGTCCAAAACATGGACCCGAATATTATTCGGGTCCGTTTTCAAGTCTAGCCGGATCCGACCTGAATAATATGGGCGTATGTGGGTATTCATAAATGTTGCCTATACATTTGTTTCTTAGGAATTTTCAGCTATTACATAAAATAGTGAAGAATGTGGGTGTATGTGGGTATTAAGTGTATATGCTGCCAATAATACAGGTATATGATGGCAAAAAAAAAATGCTCATAGTCATAGCCCACGTGTCTCACATAAACAATAGCCGTGGCAATGGACCCTACCAAATCTGGGACCTGACGAGTAGACCTGACCTCGAGTCAAAGTATTGATCTAAATTTTGGACCCAAAAGATTGTCTCACTCCAAAACCTAGTCTCCAAGTCCAGCAGGACCCGACGCATTTTCACCCCTATATTTATTGTTTTATTACTGATAGATATTTATTGCAACAAAAAAGAATTCAAAATATAAAATAAAAGAGTTTCGACTCAAAAAATATATAGGAAGCTTGGATTGAATCAATCGACACTTTCACTATTGCTTTAGAATAGAATACAAGGCTGTAGTACAATAGAGCAACCACAATCTTTCACTTAAGCCTAACTCACCTTTTCTATCTCAACACACACATTACATCACAATAATGTCTTACTATTTATAGACACAATTAACCGCCTATACATATGGTCTACGAAGGGTCACATGGCCTATAGACTCAATTAACTGCCTATACATATGGTCTACAAAGGGTCACATGGCCCAACATATTGTACACCTCTTTTTCAAGCACCCCTTCACATTGTACACCTCTTTTCACCAAGCACTCCATCACATTGTACACCTCTTTTCACCAAGCAGCCCATCACATTGTACACCTCTTTTCACCAAGCACCACATGGTTTAGTTAAACCGCCACTTATGAACCTTCTAGAGAGATGGAATGAGCATAGTCACTAAAAGACAAATTAAAATTCAACATCCCTTCTTAATTTGTCACTCTCATTCCAAGTAACATTCTTAAATAAAATAATGTTTCAGTCTTTAGTGGCTTTGTCAAAATGTCTACAACTTGTTCTTCTGATTTGCAAAACACAAGTTCAACTTCATTATTCTTCACATGCTCTTGAATGGAATGGAATCTTATATCTATGTGCTTGCTTCTTCCATAAAATACTAGATTTTTGGCCAATCCTATTACTGATTTGTTGTCGACCTTGATCGTTGTAGGGCCTTCTTGTGGTAACTGCAAATTCCTTAGCATATTTGGCAACCAAATAGCATGACACACACATGATGATGCTGCTACATATTCGGCTTCACATGTGGATAATGTAACAATTGGTTGCCTCTTTGAACACCAAGTAAAAGCTGTTGATCTAATATGAAATACATAACCTGTAGTACTTTTTCTATCATATAGGTCACCTCCCCAATCACTATCACAATAACCAATAATCTTGAGTTCATTTGAATGAGAATAGAGCAGTCCATAATCCAATGTGCCTTTTAGATAACGAAAAATCCTTTTGGCTGCCTTCAAGTCAGTTTTATTAGGAGCTTCCATATACCGACTTATTAGGCCCACTCCATACAAAATATCAGGTCTAGTACATATCAGGTAACGCAAACTTCCAACCAAGCTTTTAAAATAAGTGCCATCTACTCTAGTATCATCATATCTTCCATTTGTCTTACATTCTACTGGAGTAGTTATAGAATTACAATTCTCCATTTTAAAATTTTTGAGAATTTCCTTTGCATATCTATTTTGGCAAATATAGATCCCTTCTCACATCGTTTAATTTGAATTCCAAGAAAGTAATTCATAAGCCCAATATCTGTCATCTGAAATTCAGTAATCATAGATTGCTTAAAATCACCAATCATGCTAAGGTTATTTCCAGTGAAAATTAAATCATCAACATATAAGCAAACTATCAATAGACCAATATAGAGCATGGTCAAAGGGGCATGTATAAAAACCATTTTCTTGAAAATATTTGTCGATTCTTAAATTCCAAGCTCTTGGAGCTTGTTTCAGACCATAAAGTGCCCTTTTCAATTTATAAACTTTATTTTCATGCCCGTTCATAATGTAACCCGGTGGTTGTTCAATATAAACTTCTTCAAGATGACCATTTAAAAATGTAGATTTGACATCCATTTGAAAAAATTTCCGTTTTCTTTGAGCAGCCAGACCAATAATTAATCTAATAGTATCCAATCTAACAACAGGAGCAAAAACCTCTTTGTAGCCAATCTCGGCTCTTTGCTTGTATCCTTTGGCAACCAGTCTTGCTTTGTATATTTGTACTTCACCTTTCTCATTCTTCTTTGCTTTATAAACCCATTTCACACCAATTTCTTTATGCTGATTCGGAAGTGTTGTAAGGTTCCATGTGTCATTTTTCTCAATAGTTTGAATCTCCTTATCCCTTGCTGTTTTCCACCTTTTGTCACGAATTGCATAGTCGAAACTTACAGGTTCGAAGTCAAAGAAACGAAATAAACTGTGTGCATTCTTAGTATTTTTGTTTGAGCATAAATGTCACTCAAACTCCGTGTCCTTGGTGGCCTTTCATTTGATCTTTCATCCATGGAAGAAATAGATAAACTTGACTCTTGTTGAGGAGTTGAGGGTGGAGTATTTTCTTCTTGTGATCTCTCTTGAATATTGTCATTTCCATTCATTTCAATTCTTACATGACTTTCCTTTCCTTTTTGTTCCATTGCCTTAGACTAAGAATATTATTTTTCATGCTTGGCACGTAATAGACTTTGGAAATAAATCCATGCTTTCCATTCTTGAAGCGCATTAAAATTTTACCTTTCCCTTTGACCGAAACTTTTGAGAAATCACCAAATGGTACATTACCATTCACTGATTCACCCAACTCCATGAACATTTCTTTTCTTCCGCATATGTGGTTGCTTGCACCACTGTCAAGAAACCACTAGTTGCTACTTTCGCTCTCTTCTTCTTTACATGCCAACAGGAAGATTAGTTCTTGATCCACTTTGGATTTTTCTACAAAGTTCACTTGTTCTCCATTTTCTTAAGAGTTCTTAAATCTGCATTCAGAACTGTAATGGCCAAATTTTTTGCAATTAAAGCATTGAATCAAAGATCCATCATATCTTTGATGATTGAATGGTCGAGTAAAGTTTCTACCACCTCGACCTCTTGAGGATTGCAACATCTGATTGTTTCCTTTTCCGGCATTGAAATTGGAATTGTCATAGCATCGTCCACTTTTATTAAATGTCCCACGTCCTCTTCGACCTCTAACTCTAAATCCTCCTTTTTCATCTTTTAGGGAGAGATTAGTTTTGAGCACTTATTCCAAAGGGGTGTTTGTCTTCTTCATCATTCTTTGTTCATGAGCTTGCAAACAACCCACGAGTTGATCGGTAGTCATAGTCGACAAGTCTTTACTTTCTTCTATTGCTACAACTATGTGCTCAAATTTATGGGTAAGAGATCTTAATATTTTCTCCATGATACGCACCTCATCTAGCACCTCACCATTTCCATTGAGTTGGTTTGCTATTGCCAACACTCTTGAGAAGTAATCTGAAATTAATTCTGTCTCTTTTATGTCAAGCATCTCGAACTCGGCTCTTAATGTCTGCAAACAAACTTTCTTCACTTTTTCTTCTCCTTTGAAAACATTTTGTAAGATCTCCCATGCTTGTTTTGCAGAGATCGCGAAAGCAACCTTTTCAAAGGTACTTTCGTCAATGCCATGATAGATTAAAAATCGAGCTATCTTGTCTAGTCTCCTTTATTCTTTTAGGACAACCTTCTGATTGTTTGTTATTTTTGCTTCCTTTTCTGGGGTTCTGGGTTCATTGTATCTTTTTACAACAATTTCCCACCCATCATGTGATCCGAGTAGTGCTTTCATCTGGATGTACCAATTTTCATAATTTTCTTTTGTAAGACGAGGAACTTGTGGTTGGAATATCATACTTGAGGATGCCATTCTTTTCAAACCTTGCTCTGATACCAGTTTGATAGATATTTGTTGCAACAAAAAAGAATTCAAAATATAAATAAAAGAGTTTTGACTCAAAAAATTTATAGGAAGCTTGGATTGAATCAATCAACAATTTCACTATTGCTTTAGAATAAAACACGAGGCTGTAGTACAATAGAGTAACCACAACCTTTCACTTACGCGAACTCACCCTTTCTATCTCAACACACACACTACATCACAATAATGTCTTACTATTTATACTCAATTAACCGCCTATACATATGGTCTACGAAGGGTCACATGGCCCATCACATTGTACACCTCTTTTCACCAAGCACCCTTTCACATTGTACACTTCTTTTCACCAAGCACCCCATCACATTGTACACCTCTTTTCACTAGGCATCCCATCACATTGTACACCTCTTTTCACCAAGCACCCTTTCACATTGTACACTTCTTTTCACCAAGCACCCCATCACATTGTACACCTCTTTTCACTAGGCATCCCATCACATTGTACACCTCTTTTCACCA